TTGTGGTTCCACAAACATTTTAGGATTATTTGTTCTAGTTTTGTGAAAAATGCTATTGGTATTTTGATGGGGATTGGATTACATCTGTAGATTGCTTTAGGTAGTATGGACATTTTAACAATATTTTTTCTTCCAGTCCATAAACATGGAATATCTGTTTATTTGTGTCAACTTTGATTTCTTTCATCAGTGTTTTATAGTTTACAGAGTACAAGTCTTTCATCTCCTTGGTTAAGTTTATTCCTAGATATTTCATTATTTTTGATGCAATTGTAAACAGGATTGCTTCTTAATTTCTCTTTCTGTTGCTTCCCTATTAGTGTATAGAAATGCAACAGATTTTGGTACGTTGGTTTTTGTATCCTGTGACTTTACTTAATTCACTTATCAGTTCTAGTAGTTTTTTGGTGGAATCTTTAGCGTTTTCTAAATATCAGGTAATCTGTAAATAGTGAAAGTTTCACTTCTTCCTTACCATTTTGGATGCCTTTTTTTCCTTTTTATTGCAATAAAGAGACTTCTTTTTTTTTCTTTTTTTTAGTAAGGAGACTTTTTATGTTTTCTCATAACTAAATATTCCTAACACCTTGACATCCTAATATCTTGACTTTCTAGGAGAAAGATATATTGTTTCACTAATTCATTTTGCCACGAAATACATTTTAAAGCAAATATTAAGCTTTGCAAAGTGCTGGCCTAAGTCCTTGAACAACGTGATGGATTATATCTTCAGTACCATTTTTGCAGAAGATATCACAGTTGTTTTTTATTTGACCTTTCCTTATGGTGATGTAAATTTTGTTTGAAACATAATCCAGGGCAAGGCTGACTTCTTCCAAGGAATCTAGATTTTCCCTATCAACCAGGAATTGCTGCTTTTGAAAAGCATGTACAGGAGTGCTTTGGGAACAAAGTATTTCTGTTGTCTGCCACCCTGCTGGCCTGGTAGTTGGTTTAGGAGCCTCTCAGAGTCATTCCAGACTGAGGCTGATTTTATTTTTCCTAGTGTAACCTGACTGTCCACAACCCATACCTGCTAGGGCTGCAGCTGTTCCAATATGTAGCAAGGGCCTGAGCTCTCCACCTTCTCTCCAGGGGCCTGCTGGGACTAATTATTTTGAAAACACTAGTAACAGCATGCTTCCAATTTAGTCTCCAAATGTAAGCTCTTTTCATCATCCTTGCTGCTCTTCAGCCTGTTTGTTACACACGTCTTTTACCTTAATCAGCTCTCCCATTTCTCCTCTCCTCTCCTAAACATGCATATTTGCTCTTTAGAACATTTGTTTATGGGAAACAAATTATCCTCTGTTGTATTAACCTCCGTTATGTTACCTTCCATCTCTTCATTTAAGGTTTCCTTTAATGTTTCTTCTACCCGCTGGCCTTAACTTGATTGAGCTCCATCTTTCAGTTGTTGCTTCTTTTTTCTGACATATCTTTTGGGCAGGAGGTTGGGCAGGTGGGTCAGCATTCTTCATTCTCAGTAGTATATCCAGACTATTACTCTTACACTCTTTTAATGAACAGCCAGCAAGAACAACTTAGTAAAATAAAATTCTGTTCTTTTGAGCCTTATGCCTTTTAACTTTCTTATTTCTGTCAACTTTTTCTCCTTTGGCGATTTTGGGACCTGGATATCATCTTCATTTTCATCCCACATATTGCCATATTCATTTGGTAGCACAGCCTATCCATCTGTGATTTTCTCAACTGGAATCCATTTGGACTTTATTTTTATATATGGTGTGAAGTACAGTTTCGTTCTTGATGATCCACTGATGGGGAAGCAGTGATGGTAACTTGACCATTTGAGGAATGATGAATTTTGAAGTATAGAAATTGCCCCATAAATTGATTGGCTCTAAGAAGATAAGGACTGATTAAAAATCCTTAGGAATGTTGAAAATGTTTAAGATATTTTGTTTAATGTTTAATATATTTAAAACTTTAATTTTATAGAAATGAATGAGAATTGTACCTGAAATGATGATATCTGGCTATATCATAATCTTGATTCAAAGAGAAAGGTTAGCTGTTTTGCTAACTGAAGTGTAGGAGAAGAACACTGGATAGTTTGAGGTCCAGCCATTTGCAAATCACTTGTTTCCTCTTTTTCCCTAGTGCAAAGTGGAGAGAGTAATAACTAATTCATAGAATTGTTGGGCTAAGAAAATGCAGTAGTTACATATAGATGTATGTGTGTTTTGTAAACTTTGATGTTTAAGATCTAATGAAAGTTAGAGAACCATTCTCTCTTAAGATGGGACATAAGGTTGCTCTTTGACATCACATTGTCTCCAAAAAAAAAAAAAAAGGGTGTTTTTATAGAAAAAAATATTTTAAAAATTTAATCCGAATGATAATGGTTGGGGCCAGGAGGTGGGGGGATCTAGTGAACGTTATTTTATGCAACTATTGTAAGTCAAAGGAAAAAGAACTGTTATTTCTTACGACCCTATGCTAGAATTGCACTGTTAATATTACTTCTTTTTTATTAAAAAAAATTTGTTTTTTTAACATTTATTCATTTTTGAGAGTGAGAGAGAGCATGA